GACTGACACGCACAAACGAACACAGTCAACAAAAACCACACTGTCCCTATTCACCCATTCTCCAGGCCGCCCGACCGGTAACCAGGTGAATGTATTTCCCACTCATTCATTAAGAAATTCACACTGAAATTTTAAAATTTAAAAAAAATAAATAAATCTTTTGACAAGTTTGGTTATATTCCACTGAAAACAAGAAAGTGGCACAAAAAGGTCCCAGTAAGGCATGAGGGGTATTACACCTCCCACGTGACAAAGAAGCTAACCGTAATCCCTGGAATAGACAAGCAACACCATACACACAACACTTTATCACCACAAAGTCCAGATGGCTCCAACACTGTGTTTGGAAAGTGTTTGTTTTTCTAAATTTTAACAAAAAAAGATTTTCAAAGATCTATTGCAGCAATGCAAAGTTTGTACAAGACAAATGTTGTTGTTTTTTTTGCAAATGTTGATATTTTACCTACAAATTGATGTGAAATATGATGTCTGCGAAGACCTAAGTTGGGGATTTTAGCTAGAACAGCATAATTAATATCTGTATTATTCCTCAGACCCTTTCTGCTGACAGGTCCTCTGGTCCTGAGGTGGACTCCTCCTGTGATTTTGCCCACTTACTTACAGAGACAGAGAGACTGATTCCCTTCTTTTCCACTGTCTCATCCACACTTTCACACACAGCTGGTGATGCTTAAGACCACTGACTCACATTTTTGGATTCTTATTTTCTTTTGAACCCAGAGATTTTTGGACTCTACCCTTCAGATAAGTTTTTATTTGGGTCTGTGTACAATAAGCTGCTGTGAGGGATGTTCTCTTTGTGTGAGTGATGTTTGGGATTTTCATGGAAATTCAACTTGTGTAATCAGATTTTTCTAGAAGCGTTTCAAAGTCAGGTTACCAGGGTGCGCCCGACATTGAGACCTGAGGACTAACACGTGGCCAAGTCTTTATGCTGGTAGTTTTATGTATTAAAATGATTTTTGTAATTTTCTTTTTCATCATTGTGGCATACACCTGTGGTTGTCAAATCTGTGGTTCGGTTCACTAAAGCCAGCTTGTTCTTTAAATTTGCATCCCTGCCTCTGCGTCTCATTTAAACACGCGGCTGTGCTCCTGTAATCAAACCTGTTGGTCCATTAATATAATCTATTCAATAATTGTCACCACTGAGTGACAAGAATAAAACAACATCCTCCAAACCTGCAGCAGGAGAATAAAAACTGTTCAGGGTTCTTGATGTTTAAGATCAGATTTTTGAAACTAGATGAAAACACGAGGAATGTTTAATTTTCCTGTAAATCTTTCCTCTATTTATTATCCTTATATAGTTTGCTATTATTAATACACACAGCATCACAACCAATTGTTAAATTTAAAAACTGCAGTCAGTTTCTCATCATTTCAGACCGGGCCACCAACTGCATTTTATTTTTATTTTATTTTATCCATTTTATTCTACTGCTGACCCTCATCCACCTTTTACCAGCTTGTCCTTCATTTTCTTTTTGTATTTCCAGCCTCTAAAATTTCTTCCTGTCTTGTTTTGTGTGTTTGCTCCTTGAATTCAGAGCTCTGACCTTCTGTCCTTCTCTCTGCTGTGTTTCTGTCACAGCCACTTCTCTCTGACTGGGATTGGTTGCTCAGCCTGAAATGTTCTGCAGGAAAACCAAGACTCATATTTCCAATGACTGTAAAATTACTGTAGGTTCATTTTTTAGAACAAGTCACTGAAAGTCGCTCAGTTTAGTTTCAGATTATAATTATAGATTTGTATACATGTACCAAATAAATCATTGCGTTATGGAGTAAACAGGAACCTCTATATTACATTTACCTGTAATGATACATTCCAATGAAGCTGAGAGTTCAGTGATTCACCAGGTTTACTTATCCCACCCCCCAGTTTAGGAGGATATTATGAAATATGCTAAAATACATTTTATTAATACCAGACAGGAATGATGAAGATGAACATTACTGTTCATAGGGATCGTTTGTGTTGTAGTTCCTCACTGTGACCACTGGAGGGCAGTGAACTCTGATCACACTCTACAATCAACAGCAAACAAACGCCACAGAGCAGTTTCTTTTCTACACACGTCTGCTTATCACATGACATCAAACACTCAGATTCAAAAAATCAGTTTCATCATTTTATTAAATCAGAGAAAATGTAATTTTCGATGAGAGACGCCACATCAAAAAGTGTTTAAACTCATTACACAAAAAATAGAAAAAACAACACTATTCAGCAGCTCTTCTACATTTTACAAAGTTTATAATGTTGCCACAGTTCATATCTGAGATCACATTTGTTCCTGTGTTGATGTGAAGCTGGGAGAAGTTACTGTTGTTTCTGCTGTGATCAGAGGAAATGAGACCTGCTGAGGCCTCGGACACACTGATCAGTTTCATTGTCTTTTATTTTTACAGACCCAGAGCTTTTTCAAACACCTTCTCAGCAATTTCAGTGAGCTGGTTGAGGACAACATTCATAACTTTGTTGTGAAAGAGAGACGCATTGCTGCTGGGATTCCAATGAATGGAATAAATCTGGATGCTTCCTCTGCTACAATTAATGTAGCTACGCACCCAAGCTCTGGAGGAGCTTTTTAGTTATTTCTGCTGCAGTCAGTGGTGAAATGATGACAGCACGCAGATAAGAGTAGGGCACACCTGTTCTGTAAAAAGGTCTCTTCAAAGACAGGATATTGAGACCAAATGCATGAACATAATCTGTGACTGCACCAACCAGCACAGCAGCATCAACTTTAGCAGAGAGACCAGGAACTGGAACAGCTGCTCCAGCTGCAGACAGAGTGGCCAACCAATATAATCGGCGCTTGAGAGCTTATTTCTTCTTGCTGATTATCTCTGGGTTGATCACTCAGGTGATTTTTCTCTAGGGCAGTCTCCTGTTCAGTCGACCTCAGTTCAGTCTCCAGTGTCCCCGCTACCTGTAGCTCAGTCTTCAGTTCTGTCGGCCACTCAACCATCCATCATCTCTATGCAGCGAGAAAATCTCATATCTATCGATCGATCGATAGATAGATATGCTATACAAATAATATGTTATGTGATAGTATGAACATTTACTTAAAAGCTCTTGTAGTGTACATAGTAATAGTGTGATGCAGAATGAACCTGTTGGAGGCTGGGACAGCACAGTGTGAGGACACAGCATAGAGCTTTATACCAGCAGACAAAGGAACTCAGTGTTCAGGTGACTATTCTTTATGGAGACAGGATATTCTTCATTTCCCTGGAAGAATGTGATAAGTGGACTTTAGTGTACAGGAAAGGGTAACGGTTAATTCCACAGAGCAGTCTTTGTGGTTCACATAAAAGTTTGTAGATTAAATAATCTCTATGGAAACCAGTTATGTTTATTCACTAGCTGATAAAGAAAGGGCTGAGTCTGGGAAATTCAAAACTGTGCATGTTTAAACAAGGCTATAATCATGTTGGGTTTAACCAAATTTGGATTCAACGGTATTTCTGTGACAGAAACTCATACTGTGGTGTCACCTAAAAAAACTTAACAGGGCAGCAAAGTTGTTTGCACAGAAGCACATAATAGATTTCTAATCGTTTGGAGTCTTGTGTTGTCTCAGCATGTCAAAAAAAAAACTCTCCTTATGCAATTTTCTGATACCCAGAGTCTGTATTAGTGTGAATGTATTAATATGTTGAAAGTATCAACAGATATTTACACGGATTTGTCACTTAATCTTGAAAATAAAGAGACAAACACGTTGCAGTCAATGATTAATGCAGTAGTGTGAAAAGAAGCCAGTGAAGAAAAAATGCTCAATGTGTTATGTCAAGCTGGATGATTCTACTGCAGTGGAACAAAGTAACGGCTCCCTGGCTTCAATCAGGCGGTGGGGTGTGTAGTCGAGGTGTAGTCGCTGGTTGTGTCCCAATTCAGGAGCTGCATCCTTCTGAGGACCCGGCCTTCACGCTCTACATGGGCCGGGTCCTCCGAAGACCAAGAAGGCTGGAAGTGCAAGGCTGTGAAATTGGACGGTCTAGCCTTCAGATTTGCGTCACCGCTGTCTCGGTTTAGTTTAATAAACTCGGCCGTCTGCTCCTTTCTATCTAAAATATAACAGGACACTGGAGTAAATTCTTGACCATCTCACACATCTGTTTGATCAGTTTTCTGTTTGACGTTTATTCACCTGCACTATGAATTCTGGGATTGGTTGGGCCATGAAGGATACACCTGACCCATCCTTCAAATCTGGGGAAATTAAGGACGAATTTGTCGGCCGCATTTGGAGCAGCCTTTGAATTGGGATGGCCTTTGTCGCCTCGCTGTGACATAATTGGCCTTCAAATGCGGCCTCCGGAGGACACGACCCCTTAATTGGGACATAGCATTTGTCTCAGCTGCAGAGGAGGGGTGGTGCAGCAGGCTCGTGGAGGCTGGCACGCCAGCTGCAGCTCATCAAGCGATCACACTCTTCCTTCTTGAGTGCCAGCAGTTCCAGGGAGAAGGAGTGTGGTGGGGAGAGAGCTGGAAAGCTGTCTGGAACAACAAAATCTAACAAGATATTGACAAACACTCTGATTGGTGACTGGGGTTTACAGATCATTTTTCTACCAAAACCTAACAATGAGAAATGTTTACAAAGCACTAGCATCTTAGGTTATATATATTTGCCATTACAGCCAAAATCTTGCTCCAGCCAGTTTGGATGAAAAATAAGTTGTGGGATCAACCTATAGCCCCTGTTGATCTACAACAGGCTTGGGATGAGTGGGAGAGTGAGCTCCCAAATCCAAAATTGAATGTGAACAACACACCAGCAATTCTGTGAGCCAAGACAAACAACATCAGTGTAGTTTTTCATACAAGCAAACTGTTTCAAAAGAACTGCTCAAGACTCGTAGCTGCAGAGTCTCTTCCCATTTCCATGAAGAGAGATGAGATAATACTGATGTATATGAAAGAAGCATTTACATCTAATTTGCATAACAGAGACACGTCGGTGCAGCCGTTGTAAACCCTCGAGCCGCCACACTGAGCTTCAGTCACCAAACAGCAACCCGTCGACTCCACAGGTGAGACGCTTCCGACTCCGGCTCTTAGGTGAGTTTGATTCTGTCGTGCAGTGTGGCAGACACTTTGGCAGAAGTCAGCCTGTGCTGAGCTGTAACAACACCAATGTGACCTGTGCAGGTGTGCAGTTTACATCATGTCAGGTGTGCAAATGTCTCTGCTGTCCTGGACCGTGCTGGCCCTGCTGCTGTCAGCTGGAACCAGTCTGGGGCATGTTGATGTGAAGTGGCTGACTAAAACTGTAGAAATCATCAGGACGAGGTGAGGACACCAACAGCATCAGTCACACATCAAAGGCTTTCTCTAAAGTTTGCATTATTTGGCAGGTATACAGAAAGGGGGCAGTTTTGTGCTGCTGTGAAGATCCCAGGGAACCTGGTGAACCAGCTGAATCAGCTGAATCAGGACCTTGAAGCGGTGCTTTCACACGACACCGATGCAGAGATGCAAGAGTCTTTCAACGAAAATGAGGCATTTTATGATGGTGACTCAGTGGTTGCAGCAAAACCTTATGGTGACCATGCAGAATACAGTGTTTTGAAACACATTATGGATGAGTGGAAGAATGAACGTACTGATAACTTCTTGCTCATCTACACATATCTGTCTCCATGTTCAGACAGATGTGCAGACAAAGATGGAAAGAAACATATCCTTGAATTTATTGATTTTATGACAAGCTGGGGCAAAGAGTATGCACTTGTGTTTCAGAAACCTTACTCTGAACGTACAAGAAATTCGGGAAACCGAAGGTCCAATCCTGAAGATGAGTTGAAAAAAGCTCTGACTGCAATTGCAGACGTGATTGGTGATCAATATATATTCCGTTGTTACAAACCAGAGAGCGGTCCATTTCACTGCATCAGATGCTTCTCAGAAACAAAGGACATTGTTGATGAGTGTTATGAGACTAACCAGGAAACGCCAAGTGCAAAGAGAGCTCATTCACCAGACTCAGGCAGTCAGACAGACAGTGATGTAAAGAAAAGGAAGAGCTAGACAGTGACAGTGACAAAAGTAGCGGTTGCAGCAGCACCAATACAAGTTAAAATTTATCGAACAAACCAACATCATCCCTGAACTCACATCTGAGTGATTGAAACTTTATTCATGCTTAAAATAATTTGTTTTCAAATTGATGATTTAAATTCTGTTTAAAATGGTTAAACATTAAATTGTGTTTAAAATGTGAATAAAGTCAATCTTAAAGCTGCTCTGTCTGTCCCTTCTGTTGCAGTCACTCAGAACATCAGCAGAGCTGTGACCGTCACCTGATTAAACTATTATTGGTTTAAATGTAGCACACTATTTACAGGCTGTTCGATAACCTCACCCATTCATGGATCACTCAGCACATCTGCTGCCTTTTTTCTTACCTTCACATTAAAGCAGGTCAACTGTTATAGTTCTTGTTTTTAGTTTTCAGAGTCGATTTAGGAGCTGGCCTCATTTTTGCTATAAGTCAAATAAGAATAATAGAATTGAAATCAGCTGCTCCTCCCGCCGGGCCCTCAGCCCGAGCCCTGCACGAGCTCTGGCCCGTACTTGACCCTGCACCTGCTGTTTTTGGGCGTGTGGGAAAGTTACTCAGCAGCAGGAGGTGGGACTACTGGTACCTTTAAAAGGGGGCCTGGGAAAGCCCTCGGGGCTTTTTTCCTGATGTCTGTCCTTTGGGGTTGGTCCCAACCTGCATGCGCTTACAGCGAACACCCTAGGGGAGCTTTGCTTTTCCTTCTGTTTTGCTGAGCTGCACTGTTCAATAAAACAGCTGGCAGAGAACTTTGCTCCTCTCCTGTGATTTTTGTGTTTTTGACTTTAATTGAAATTGGGAAGCTGAGATTCACCTATTGCTAATCTGAAGAATTACTCTCAATTGTGACAACTACAGCGTCTCTTTGTCTACTTAACAGTGGTTATTATTCAAGGATTCAAGGAGCTTTATTGCCTTCGCGTCACATGCTTATATGAGGTGGAACGAAATTATGTAGACACGGTCCCGGAATGAAAAGAAACAGAATAACGAAGAAACAGAATTTAAGAAAATACTTGCACTCCATCGTTGCCTACCGGAGTTTTGTTTTGTCCGCCTTCTCTCTGTTGCTGTTGCTCTGCCTTCCTGAACTGGAAACGTCTATGTGATGAGAATTGGTAGCGTTCCTGTGGAGCTTGCTCATCTGGATTCAACTGGTTTCCATCTTCCACCCAGTAACTCAGAAGATCCTTTGTTTGGTGACATTAAGGATGCTGAAGATAAAGCAACAGTCAGGAAGACTCAGACTGAATATCCAGGAAATCAGAAAACAGCAGAAGCTCTCTTTAAGGTCTCATGTAAGAGACAGAAGTCGTACAGGTGGAGATCAAACTTGGACACCAAGAAGACCTGTTGAGACTCGATGCCTAAATCTTTGAGTCCGCTGTCAAAGGAGGAGTACACAGTGTGACAGTAGTTTATTGGTTTAGTCTTGTGTCATCAGCGAGGAGGCTTATTTCTTTTCTCAGTGCTGTACAATTACAAAACTGGACTTAAACTTAACACAGTAAGGATGGGACACACTTGTTTGAACTGTAATATAACAGCACCGAAAAACATACTGTTGAGCTCAAGCAGGATAAAGTGATATATTGAGATTGTATCGTGGTGTCTGGTGATTCCCACCAGCTTGACATTTGTGTTCACATCTCACTGTCTTTGTAAATGCTGTAACAGACCCAGGAAGTCTGTGTAGAGTCTGTCTTTGATGACTGATGTCTTCAAGGGTGACTCTTCATGCATCAGTTATCATGCGTGGATGCTGCATAGATCTGCCTTAAAGATTTTTTTTTTTTTTACATATGCTTCATATTAGTACCACTGATTTTCACTGTGTTGTTATACTAGAGGAGAGAAAATAAATGCATTTGCCATCATCAGAGTTTTTTTTTTTTTTTATAAACAGTAAAAATGTGATTTAACCCTTTGGCGTCAACAAACATACCAGTGTCCAAATCACATGACCTATTTAACATAGCAGCAAGATGCAGCAACTTCAAAGTACAGACCAGTTTTTAAATTGAATTGACAGGCCGAGTAAAACCAGAGCTATGATTAAATAATTAGCTCAAAGTGGGTTTTCTGAATACTGTCGTCACATTTGGTGCAGGAAGAAATGGTACAGACTGGATTTTCAAAGGATAGCTTTCGGGGGGGAACAGACATCCAACCTGTTGTTGAAGCATGAGTGAAAAAGTGATTCTATACATGTTTGTGTGAGACAGCCAATACACATGTCACTTCAGACATGGGGTAATATGGGCAAATATGAATTTAAACATCAAACATTTACCTATAGTTCAGTGGGTGGGGTGTGTTTGTTTTGTTTTATTTTTTATTTTTTTATTTTTTTTTTGGGGGGGGCATTAGTAACTTTATTCCAGTGGCCTGTAATATCTAAGGCAGCTCATCAAAATGTCAATAAAAGTATTTTGATTTATCCTCTCCAAATACTGAAATCCTATGTCGATCAGACCAAGCA